CATGAATTTCGTGTCAGTTATTTTATATATTTTCTCATACGGTCTTCATAATAAGCTTGCTGGGTAGGTATTGTTTCCCCATTTAAAGATGAAAAAATGAGAGGTTAATGAATTTGCCCAAGGTCACACACCAGAGTTTGGACCAGTCCTAGGCTTCTCTGGTCCCAGAGACAGTATTCTTCTCACTAACCATACATTCTGCCTGTAACTAGCTCTGCAAACTTGGGCAGGTCACTTCTTTCCAGGCCTCGTTCTCCCTAGTCTCAAACCTAGGGAGCTGAGCAATATTATGTAGAAAAGTTTTCTACATGTGGGTCTGTGAACAGGTAACTTTATTCCTTAGTGGACCACAACCTAATTTCGCTTTTGGAAGTTGAAATGACACCTTTTATTAAGGGCAGCTAAAAATGTTTCCTACCCACTTGGTTCAGGGATTCTGTGGGCTGCCCTGCTGAGTCCTGGCCCTGCTTTCTTTTCTAAAGTCGAAGGGAGCCCAACTGGCCCCCCAGCACCAGCCTTGCTCCTCCAGTTGCAGGTTTTTATAGTGGTCCCGTCTTCTTTTCCATTTGTTCTGTGCAACACTAAGAGTAAGCAGGTCCCTTCACAGGGCTTGGACACAGGGCAGCATGGCTGGTATAGGTGTCCCCGTGTTCTGTAAGCACTTGTCTTCAGGCACCTGTACACGTATTTCCTTCTGAAGCTGAGTTGGTGAAGGGAGAATATGGAGGAGGGGCAAATTCTAAAGGGGAAAAACCCTGGGGAGCCAGCTGTGTTCCAGATGGGGTGGGGTCTTAATTCATTTGTTGCCTAACTGTGAAGATATAGGAGGTTCAGATTCTCAACACAGAAAGAACCTTAATGATAATCAAACACATAGTTTTCAAACTTTTATTAGTTGTGGAATCCAGTGTATAAAACAATTCCAAGAAAAGCTGGCTAAATCCAGAGGAGTGAGGCCAATATCTCTCTTCACCTGTCTTCCCAGCCTGCCCTGATTATAGGTGGACTCTAGGGGTCTCCACAGAGCACTGCTTAAAATAATTTTTTTCTTTTCTTATTTTTTTAGGCAAGGCAACCCTTGGTTGACCTCACAGATTGCAAGGGCCTTGTCAGCTTACAATCCCTTATTTTTTATTTCACTTATTTTTCACACCTACAGCAGCCGGTCTTCCTAGGCAGTCTCCCATCCAGGTACTAACCAGGCCTGACCCTGCTTAGCTTCCAAGATCAGATGCGATCGGGCTGGTTCAGGGTGGCATGGCTGTAGACTGATGGAAATAATTTCAATGTGACAGAACCTCCATAATTTTCACCCAGAGTTCTGTAAAGTGAGCCATTTACTAAGCTTGAACACCTGGCTGGTGGCAACCCTGATGCTCACTTTTAGGACGGAGCCGCTGCCTTGATAAGTCAGTGAGGGGGTTAGGAAAAGGTTAAAGGTTGTGCTGGTAGGACACTACAACCACATATAGTTAGTGACCCGAGGGTCAGGCATTTCACCTGGGCAGTCCTGAAAACAGGCCACACCAAGAAGGAGGCAAGTAGTGATGTTTCTGTTTTGTTCTTCTCTGGATTTTTTTAACCTTCAAATTCATTCTCTCACCATGACTGCCTGTTGTCTCTGTGCCTTTCTCTACCTGCATCGCATCTATTATGAAACTTCATCCAGATGTCCAGGTCCTCGGTTCTCCCACTTTCTCTAAGTCTGTAGCTCTCTCTAATTCATTACTTTCCATATCCACCTTAGTCCCTGGGATCCACTACTATAAGCAGCCTCTAACTACCCGTTCCGTCAACTCCTTCACTCTCAGGCAGTGCCGGTCTCTATGTGATGACTCGGTGTTCCACATCTCTGGCCTGACCTCTCTCCTGTCCCTATGCACTAATCAGATGCTGAATGGAACTGGCCGGTAGGTGAAATTGATAAGCCCAAGTTCTCCACCTCTGAAGAGGGAGGCCAGAAATCAGGCACAACGTGTGCCTCTCAAGTTTGATTTCACACATCACCTGGAGAACTTTTAAACTTTTTAAGCCTGTGCTTCACCATAGAGCAATGGAATCAAAGTTTAATTCTAATATACATCAGAAAATTACATAAAAATCTTGGCAAATTTTCACAAAGTGAATACCCACATGTTACTACCACCATGCTGAGGGAAAAAAGCACTACCAGCAGCCCAAAGCACCCCCACCCAAATATCTCTTCAGTCCTTCCTCCACAGGATAATAACATTCTCCTGACTTTTAACACTATATATTTGTTCTGCATGTTTGTGATGTTTATAGAAACAGAATTGTAGAGTATGCATTCTTTGTGTCTGACTTGATTCAATATTTTATTTGTAAGATTTAACCACTTTGTTTGCGGAAGCTGTTGTTCATCGATATGCATTGCTATATAGTATTCCATTGTCTGACTATACACATAATATATATAACTATTTGACTCTTGAGATACATATTGATAGTTTTTAGCTTTTACAAATACTGCGACTATGAACATTTTTGTACATGTTGTTTGGCACACACACGTATGCATTTCTGTTGAGTAGATATCTAAGAGCAGGATGGCTAAGATATGCCTATGTTCAGCTTCAGTAGATAACAGCAGTTTTTAAAGTTGTACCACATATGTGTTTTACAAAAGCTCCTCAGATTATTCAATGGGTGGCTAGGATTGAGAACCATGCTAAGGCCTAAACAAGGGTAGCAAAACCAGGCCTTCCACCAACCATCACTCTGAACACCCTTCCTCATCAAAAGACTGGTGAGGGGTGGGGGAGGGCATCACTGGTCTTGTTCCAGGAGAGACACTTGTCCTTCTAATGCCCTGTCGGGGGAAGGGGGCATATCCAATTCTGAGGCTAAGTGAGGTGGGGTCTCCACAAGAATCTCTCTTAGAGATTGGGGTGTTTTCAGGTAAGGAGGAGTGACATCTTGGTCCCTGGCTATCTGCTGCCAAGATTTTAACCTGCAGGCCCATCCTGGCACCACCAACCAAATGCACTGAAGTGGGGCAAGAGAACTCCAGGGACAGCTTAACATACATCCTTTAAAGGAGAAGGATACAGGTGTGCATAGACACAATGGCCACTTCTTTTCTGGCCTCGCTGGCCCGGCTACTACTAAAAGGGATTAGGAAGGAGTGTGGAGTCTATGCTGGCAGAGGGAGAAACAGGCACCTCCCTCTAGCTTCCTGTAGTCTTCAGAGTGTGAGTCTCAGCAATTCCT